CTAGAACGTTAGTTAAAGAATTACATCAAATTGGGCTTTCTTCTTGTATTGCAGCAAAAAAACCTTTTATAACTGAGACATAAGGTATTAACCGATTAAATTGGTGCTTGGAAAGAAGACATTAAGGTATTTCTAAATGGGAAGAAATAATTTGGAGTGATGCGTCTCATTTTAAAATCTTTAAAAGTGATAGTCCTTGTCGTGTTTAGCATGCTTCTGGCAAATATTTTAATATTGAGAATTTGTCACCTACAGTAAAATATGGAGGTGGTGAAATAATGATGTGAGGTTGCTTTTCAAATAAAGGTTTAGGGCCGTTAGTTAAAGTTGAAGGAATATTAAATAGATTTGAATATATTGAAATATTAGAAAAAAATTTGTTACCTTAGATAAAATCAAATTTTCGTGGCAAAAATTATCTTTTTCAAAATGATAATGCTTTCATCTATAAAGCTAAAGACGTAAAAGCATGGATTCATAAAAAAAGACTTAAAATATTATCCAATTGGCCATCCTAATCTCCAGATTTGAACCCAATCGAACACTTATGGGATGAGCTTGATAGACAAGTTAGAAAACAGTCACATCGTCCTAAAAATGCATTAGAATTGAAATTGCTTTATAAGAAGAATGGGCGAAAATTCCTAGTACATTTTATAAAAAAATAATAAAAAGTATGCTGAATAGAATAGAAAAGTGTATTAGTAGGAATGGGTGGCCTACAAGTTATTAAATATGAAAATATTTTAATAAAAATAAATTTTTTTTTTGAGTGCCCAGATATTTTCTTTAGGGGAGTGTATAATAAGAATATATTAGAAGTAAAGGTAGATTGTGTGTATATGTCAAATTTGTTATGCTTTACTGATTTTTATAAGGTATTATATTTATTGGCTTGTGGTGGTCTACATAAAGTTGATCTTACAAATTTAGCATCAGATAAACTTCATCTCCCTCAGATTATGAAGGATACTCTTGATGATATGTGAGAGAAGTTTAATAATACCAAAGAAATAAACATGTTTGTTTATAATAGGATTTCGGGTAAATAAATATAATAATCTGAATTATTATAAAGAATTTAATAACAAAAGTGTATTTCTTTTTTAATAGTAATATAAGTTAGAAATTCATTTTATGTTTATCGACTTTATTTTATTAAAACATTTTACTGTTATCTTACGATACTAACGACTGAAATTTAGTATTGACACAAGATTAATAAAGGATTTAGCTTTACGATTTATAATGCGAGATTTATGGAGAACTTCTAAAGGTTTATTGATTAAATATATTTTAAGTCAAAGTATGATTTACAGGTTAAGTAATTTAGAGTTTTATTAAAGAAAGAATTATTACAAATGTATTTGTTTGCATACAAGTATTTTAGTAATTATCTTGTTAGTGATAAAACTAAGTAAATTCTCTACTTAAAAGTTCCTAAGTTATTGAAGTTCTAAAGCTACCCTATTTATAAGAAATAAATTAATAATAATAAAAATATAAATAAAAATAAGAAATGTAATAATTGGTCTTTTATCATATATCTGTCATATATTACATATATGGCAGATCTGCTATAAATGGCAGATTTGGCAGATTTGGCATTTTTTACAGATCTGCCAGTTTTGTTTGATTGGATAGATTTTGAGGATGTGCAAATTTTAGCTGATTGAATGGATTTTGTGACAAGATAAAAATCATGTGTTCTATAAGATAACTTTTTAGTTTATTACAATATCACCTTTCCTTAACATTTACAAATTTTAATAATTTGCATATTAATCTGAGTTAGACATGAAATATTCAGATTTGTATAATAGATACTTATGATTTAATAACATTTTTATTTGTTGCTTAATAAAAAACATCATGTTCAATTTGCAGGGATTACATTAGAAAAAATTCCTATTAATCATGAAAAAAATTATTCAAAATTATGAATCTGTTTTTACCTCAAAGTTCTTTAAATAAAGGGTATAATCAAATAAAAATAAATTATAGTATATATATATATCTTGCTAAATCAGCTAAAAATGCTATATATCACTAAAATTGCTATAAGTCTTATTTATTATCTATAATCACATATAATCATCAAATATGCCTAGTCAAACTATTATAATTATTTTAGATAAAGTTTATAATAAAACTGTATCTAAACCTAATAATCTCTATTCTGAATATAATTTAAAATATGTTCATAAATATTAGACTTATACTGATGACTATCAGCTTGAAAAAGTGGTTGAAATAGAAAGGTAATATGGTTATTTATCTATTATTAGATCTCATGAAACATTTTAGCAATAGGCTTTCAAATAAGAGATACTTTATAAGAGTTGTTTTCTAAAAGAGAATATATTATTTATCATATGTAATACCTTTTTACTTTATTTTGACAAGAAAAAAACTAAACATTCTATGACTATAGTATTGATGGGTTAAAAAATATTTCACATGAGTATTCTAGACCTAGTATTCATAAAAGTCAAATAGCTATCTGCTTTAAATGTTAGAAATTGGTAAAAACTCCAAGAAAAGTATATAATAATAGATGGAACAGATGGGTCTATGAGATAAAATCTGAAGATTTGATGAAGAATCATTGGGATTACTCTTGTTTTAAGGCTGAGATCAAAGATGAATCATATTTATTAATGCATCCTCCTTTATCACTAACTTTTTATCGATCTTTGAAAGATTTTCTAAGAAAATACATCACATTTCTATATGTAAAACAAAATAATTTATTATCATTTATAAACTATTTTAATCAGTCAAAAAATATTACATTAAGATTGAAAAATGAGGTAGAAATCATGATAGTTTAACTGAATGATTGACTGATTTTGAAAAATATTTTAAATATAAACTATTACTTTTTTGATATATAAATTTTATTCACATGATTTTTTTCTTGTAAACTCTATGTTACTATAGGTAATTAATCAGCAAAAAAATATTTCAGTCATGATTCTGAATATTATCAATAAAAAATATATTTGTCTGTGACTTACAGCCAATGCTAGAGCTCCGAACAGATCAGGTTGGGTCGGGTAATTGACTTAACCCGACCTGATAAGGTCAGGTCAGATCAGACATAAAATTGACCTGAATTAAATATACATTTGACCTGACCTGACCTGATCTACCTGATCTGACTTAACCTGTCTAAAAAAGGAAACTAAACAATTATTAATTTTGTTTAATATTTTTTTAAAAATATATAAAAAAATATTAATACATTTTTACATTTGATTATTTTTCAAAAAAAAAAATACTAATATAATTATTTTAACTGCAGAATTTAAAATTAC